AAGCAAACGACAACATTGCTGGATCAAGACAATCTGAGAGGAGATCGCATGAGTCCGCAAATTTGGAGGAAGGCGGAAGGCATGAACTGGTTAGTGAATGGGTCAGGAGAGAAGGATCTTGGTATGAGGATGATGACATGAATAGTGAAGAATGGATGGCGGTAGGGCGGGAAAAAGAGCGGGATGTAGGAAGAAGTCAGGAAGGAGGGAATAGAAACATAAATAACGTAAGCAAAAAAAGGGGTTTGGAAGAAAGTAGTTCCGAGGAAAATGAGTGGACGATTCGGAGGAGATTGGTATGTTATCAATTGTACTGAACAGGTAAAACATAAAACAGAGAAAAAAAGTTATTACAAAAGGTGCTGAGAAATTTTTGTCAGTCAGGAACCTCTCTTGGGAACAGATTACCAGAAGACTTGAGTCGGAAAGAGGGTCTTCAAGCCAAATTGGATAGAGTTAATGTTTATAATTCAATGGAATGCAAGGAGTCTTTTGGCAAATGGACAGGAATTCAAAAGTATTATCAATGATTCAGAAATAAAATGATTCAAGTTCATCTTTAATTACAATTAAAACATGTCATTCAGAGAGCAGAGCAGATATAATGATTGAGATTCTTCAAACAATGTATAGCATCCAGATGATGGGAAGTTCTGTAGCTTTCTGTTGGGTACCAGCGCATGCAGGAGTACAAGGAAATGAGTTAGCAGATGCATGTTATAATGAAGTGTCCAAGATACGGAGAGGAAAGAAAGATACTGATGGAAATAAAGAAAAACTTAAACATTTTGGGGAATAAATCAGGGGATAAAAACTTTCAATTTTTAATGCGTTATTTAAAGGACACTGGATTATATAATAGAATTTAGTGAAGAGTACGATCCTAATCAGTAGCTTGCGGTAATGCACCTAAAAGTTGTATGCCATCCGCCATTAAACACCAAGAAGAAGAAGAAGAAGAAGAAGAAGAAGAAGAAGAAGAAGAAGAATGTCGAACCTCACCTGACCAAACCCGGACAACAGGTCTCATCGCTTCTGCTTGTTAAATAATGTTAAATAAGATACTCAGTTAAACTAGCTAGCTGTTTTTATTGTTGTCGTTTTATTTAATTTTGATATCTAAATGTTAGTGAACAGGCTAAAAATAAAAACTTTTAGATATCGCTCGTCACAAACCTCGACATGCAGGTATATAATTTACTTTAAAGACACTCGTTGTGGTCCGGAGTTTAATAAGTACATATGATATACGACGCAAAAGTATGATTTTAGTTTTATTAAGAGTGTAATTGTAACTGTATGAGTCGCAGAAATGGTTGGTTTCACTTTCACATGTGTCAGAGAAACAATAACACGTCTAAAATTGTGTCTAGTATTGTATATATTTTAATGTGCTGTTCTAATCAATCAGTTGTTATGTATTGCTTTTGTAATTGTTGCATTTTGCATGCATTTTCATAAAAGATTGTGCACGCTGCTAAACAAATCTCTCAAACAGCTCTTGTTTAGTCATTAAAGCAGATATTTAGTGTGTGTTAATCAGGTAAAATCAGTCTGACA